ATAACCATTCACCTTCACACCAAGGAAATTTCAATTGGGATACACGGAAGAAGTCAAATTCTTTCAAGGTAAAATTCTGATTTCCTTTACTCCTAAGCACTGCTCACCGAAGAGTATATATATATATATATATATATATATATATATATATATATATATATATATATATATATATATATATATACGAGGGGTTATCAAAAAGTTCGTGGACTAGTGTCATAAAATTAAAACCGCTTTAGGTACATCAATGAATTTTTACACATTTAGTTAGCATCATCTTTTCTATCTATAGAATAAACCATGAATCATAATTTTTATTTTTTAATAAATTGTTAGTGTTTTTGTAAGCAAAGGTATGTCCAGGCGGCGCAACCTCTAATATGACGTTTTTTCTACCTGAGTGTAACTGAGAAAAACTCTTTAGATATGAGTATTTGTCATCATAAAAATCTCGTTAATTCAGGCATGTGGTACGACACATTTGTTTAGTAAAATTTGCAATTTTTACCCCATTCTGTAATTTCTATGAAATTTTATCGTAAATTTTATATGGAGTGTCCAAACAATTATGGGCTTGAAAATAACGTCAAAAAGGGGGAGGGGGTTCTTTTTCAAACACTCTATAGAGTTTCGCTCCTGGAAAAACTGGTATTGACCTAAGGAATGTTTAAACTGGCTACAGAAAAATAAAATGTATCCAGAGTACTTGTTTTTTAATGCCCAAAAAGATTCAGAGAGATGAAATATGCACAGTTAGTGTCGATTTGTAGTCAGGGTGTCAAAAGTCAGTCACGTCGAAAAGTGACGTTGATCATGTGTGGTAGAAATTGAACTCCAACAAGCTAAGTATTCTGGAATAATCAAGTGAGGATCTTTCCCCATATAAAGATCCATTTACAATATTATATGCATTGACAACAGCTGCTCATGACATTGTAAATTCATATAAGTAAGACGGGTTTAAGTCCTTACTTAACTCCAGGTAATCTCATCAAGATAAGTGTATGAGGTAGAGAGAGCGGACATTAAGAAACAATGACGTAAAGCGGACGTCATGACACTAAACGGCGACAGCGCCGGGTGATCACATAAAGTCTTTTTAATTTTAGAATAATTTGGCAAATTATCAACGTATCAAACTAAAATTTTCAACATTTCTTAAACTTTCGTTGTTTTATGTTCCGCTTAAATTTTGTAAGCACAGACTACATATTATTAATTTTATCGCGTCAGTCCACGAACTTTTTGATAACCCCTCGTATACTTATCTGTGTGGGTGTGAGGGTGTGTGGGTGTGTGAATAAAATTACGTATAAACAAAAAAAAAAGGAATTTACAGTGGAAGACACATGTGTACTAGATAGAAGCATTCTTAACATAATTAGACCAAGATAAAGTAATTGAATAAATTATTTTTATGTATTTTGTCAATGTAAGTAAATAGCAGTTATTTCAGTTCACTAAGAGTTCATTGTCTTTGAACATTATTTCTTGGGAAATATGGTAGGTACCTTATATGGAAAATGAACTAGATAAACTCAGTATGTACACTTTTATATGACATAATATTCTCCAAGTCTCGGTATGTTTTGTTAGAAAGTGCTGTTGTACTCTTTTAATGTATCTAGTATCGTATTCGGAGAGCATTCTTTTATCAAATTACGTAATGCAAGAATATTTCAATATCGTAATCTCAGATAAATATAGTAAGCGAATGTCATAATATTACAATTCAAAAAAAGAAGGGAAAAAAAACAGATAACAAAACACGTGATTATTGAATCCTCTGAAAAGATATTAAAGCCAGTTGTAAAACTATTTTAAGAAAATATTTTTGCTTGCTTCAAGAGGAAACTATACTTCCAACTATTAATATGTATTACTTCCGTGTGTAATCTATAGCAAAAGATGCTACAATAAATCAGAGAACTCCGTCTCTGGTTTGCACTGAAGAATGTTCTTCTTAATCTGATAACGATAGCTTCCTCCACAGATGAACAACACTGCTTTTATTTTCAATTTTTAGACAATAACTCCAATTTAAAAAAAACGTAACACTTTACATTTCAACCCATTATCTCAATGTATAGTACAAATTAATGCGGAAAACAGAATTTTCATGGTCAACACCCTGATTATAATGCTAATGGTAGGAAAACTGTCTACCAAAGCTTAGTCAGTATTATAAATGTTAAATGTTTAATCCAAAATACTCCTAGAAAACAGAATTTTCATCGATAAAAATAAATATATTCATATTTATAAATTCAGATTTTATCTGTATTTTTTTTTTTTTTTAGAAACCTCGACAGAGACTTTAGTTTAAAGTTTAATCAAATATATTTTCTTGAAAATAAAAGTGATGGACAGACAAACAAACATATGAACAGAGAGCTTGACAGAACAAAACAATAAATCTTGAAATTATTGTGCTCCATGTGTCAGAAGTAGTTAGCGTTATATTTGCCGAATGACTCTGCAGCTGAATTCAAATACAGTATTCAGTTTTATAATTTCAAGTAAACAAATAGATCATACTTCTACATATACTGTGTGCTCATTTGATTCATCAAAATAAAAAATGTACAAAATTAATGTCAAAGATTAGTAAAAATATTTTACACAATAAACTGAATTCGTCTGGTCAAAGAAGGAAAACTCTGGATCACAGGAAAATGTCAGTCTGTATCTTTCCTAAATAGTTTTGTCAAATTAACGATATAAAGTAAGTAAGTAAATGGTTTATTATAGTGACTTGTGTTACGTACAATTACAAAAACAAATATACATATAATAGGAATTTAAACACCCAACCCATCGGGCCTTTATGTCACTTTTAACAATATACGAGGATTGTTCGGAAAGTTTGTGGACTACCGTCATAAATTTTTTACTCAACGTCATATTATATCCAAATTTGGAAGAAATATTTCAACACTAAATTCAAATGATGTGTATTAAAAATTTTTAAAATATCGTGGTTTATTTCAAACTTATTTAGATTTAAAGAATGCGAAAATCGGATCACGGAGCAGGTCAAAATTTTGTAATTTAAAATCAAGACACTAAATAATGTCTGAAGTCATATCTTCTGTAAAATGACATAAAAACGGAAAAAATTCCAAACGTTCAAATTAAGAATTGTTTTATCGTTTCTGATTCCAAATTATGACTTAATATTTTGCTTTGTTGAAAGAAATCAGTTTCAGAAGATAGGTAGTTCTCATTGAAAAAGGCAAAAAAATAGATAGTCACGGAGCAGCAGTTAACCATACAATTTTGTATTGTACTCTGGAAAACTCCAGTAAAAAAAACTCTGAAAATGCCATAGGAAGTAGGAAATATGTCAAAAGCGAGCCATGCATGTGTGTGTATATGGTACAAGCGTTATTTGAATGATGGACTACTCTGCTTAGACGATGGTGATCTGTGAGAAAACGGATTATCTGTAAAAATCTTATCAAAAATGTTGAAAAATAAGTAACATCATGATGCTAAGAGTTTGGCGCTTCACTGATGCTGATCTTGTAAAAGCACAGTTATGCAGGGGAAAAAATATAACATTGACAAAAAAATGAGGCTACTGGAACAATTGTAAGCAAAATAGATTTCAAGTGATAGAGAAACGTATTTAATGAGTGCACTGGTATTGAGCAATACTGTGTGAAATGTATAGGGAGAGTATTTTTGAGAACCTTATGTCTGTATGTTTTTGACGTTACAGTGTTGTTGAGTTTGCGCCGTGGTTACAAAACATGCTGATTTTAAAATTAAATAACATGAATTCTATTAATTCACATGGAATGAAACTTCACACTTAAACAAAGTAAATATTTTTACATATGATAATGTGCTCATTTTAAATTTCTTGAAAGTAGTATAACGAAGATTGGCATAGTCCACGAACTTTACGAACAACCCTCGTACAATGTAACATTCTATAAGATTACAGTGATATTACGCATTGCGTTTATTATAGATAATAGACTGTAAGTATATGTTGAATATATGAATTTTCCGGTTTGTCTTACGAAAGGACAAGGCATGGTAACGGCCGAATCTGGCCCCTTATTTGATGTAAAAATCAGAACACAGTTAAAATTGTGATAGTTTGTAGTTAGGAACTTAAAATGGTGCTTGTTTTAAAACCAGCACTAATTTTGATTTAAAGCTTACACGAAGGCCACAAGAGGGTGCAGAAAGGACAATTTCCCGAATTTCCTCAATTCTGGTGGAATTTCGTCAAACTTGAGATACTTTTCACTTCGAGAAACATAGAGCACAACTTGCCTATCTGAGATTTTTATACATAAGATGCATCTCATGCTAGTGTATGAAATATGTAAATTTGGCAGATAGACAAGCTTGTTCTCTATGTTTTCTGAAACAAAATGTGTTGTTAAATCGATGAAAATTTGCATAAAAATGAGAAAATTCGGAAATTGACATATTTTCTTACCTTCCTGTGACCTCTGTGTATCCCATAACTTAGAACCAATACTTATTTTGTTGCAGGGGTGACAACTGGTTTTTATTGATAAACTGTTGCATCATTCTAAAAGACACCCCAAACCAGGGTCCAAAAAGAGGTCTTAGCCTATCTTGTCCTTTACTAAAAGAAATTTGGTTTTGTCTAAATTTGACATATTGATATCAGTTGAAGTTGGTTTAAATCTATTCCGGTAAAAAAGATTGCTGTAAAATTTTAATATGATGTACAATGGAGCAAAAAGTGGCATTCATCTTCTACACTATTTGAACAGCATAAAGTACAGAACCTTCCTTATACCGTCCTGTTTCTATACTAGTATTTGTAATTGTTTTTTTAATCATTTGACAAACACATTACGTTTTGCTTATGGGTAAAGACTGATATGATGCACAATTGTTACGGCGTCGCAAGTCCATCAAACTGCGCACTACCAATAAATTTTTAAAAGAAAGAAATCTGAAATATATTATATCCCAGAGTAATAAATTAGAATATAGTTGATGTACATCTAAATCACGAATTGAAAACTGTTCGCTTTAAAAGCTGGGGTTTTCAAAGTGATGTATCCTGCTTCGTGTGTCGATCTCTAACATCGTCACCAGACGAAGCAAAGGAAGGATTGCTTTTTCCATTTTTGACCATGATGTCGACAGATGTTTCGAACTGTCCAGAAAAACATTTAAAGACATCAAACTTCATAGGGATAATCCCTCGCTGAAAAATATACCTGGTCATATACGAAACTGAAACGATACAGGTAAAAGTGACCAGCATGGCGAATGTTTTATACGGAAACAACTGTCGTCCTTCAGACTCAATGTACCAAGGGTATTTGACCACAGGAGGGATATTTAAGGTAAATTCCCCACTTGTGAGGCGAAGGAGTAATCCCACAACGTAACCAAAAATAGATCCATAGGTGTTGCACTTTCGGATATAAATAACTGATAAAAGTTGTGGAAAGCTTATGACGTATAGGAGATCAGAACACAGGAACCACAACACGTATATAGATTTTACGACAATCGCAATCACTGTCGCCAAGGCACCAATGCCGAAAATGGAAATCCTCATTGCCCAAAGAATTTCTCTCTCAGAGGCCTGTTTGGCAAAAAATTATGTACAAATTAATAAAAATTTCAAAGATGCTATGGTTACAACAAAATAATAGGCTCGATCTATGAACATTATTTGTAATAAAAAGTTTAGCAAAAGTTCCAATTGTGCTATTTCGTTCACAATTTTATGATTATTATTTTGCAGAGTTTGCCATATACCAAAAGAAAGTAATATAAAGGAAGTTACATGTTAAAAACTTTAATATGCACTTACCAAGTCTAAACATATTTCACCGAGGTTTCGTGTAAATTCATTTACAGATACATGTATCATGAACTAAGAAATAATGATCCTTTTTTTATTTCAGCAAACGTACTCTTGTAATCATTATATGACCTTTAATTTGAAGTCATGGTTAAAGATCTCCTTTAGATCATCATCAACATCATATTCAAGTTTCAATTCATTTCAGTCAAACTTTAGATCAAACTCAAGTATTTCCACATTGTATGTTCAGGAACCTTGAAATACGGCAGCGAGTCCAGACTGTGGCTCATCTATGGGCATTTGCCAGTATTTTTCTGTTTGGACAAATCAATTCAATTTTCATAAAATTTTTTAGGCCATTATTTAAACACTGAATTGTCTACGTATTTTTCCGTTTGCTCGATTATATTAATGAGCACACGACGGGTGTGACCGGTCGACAGGGGATGCTTTCTCCTCCATGGCACACGATCCCACCTCCAATGTTTTTTAGAGGTCGGTGTTTGCTCTTCTCCCGATTTGTATTGTTTCATTGGACTTTTGAGCTTGATTTACTGTTCGTTATCTCCATATCAAGGTTAGAGATGGTCTGTGGTCTGGACACCATCTTACCAATCCATTACCCAGAGTGACCGTGATAATTGAGAAATAATTATACACGTACTAGAGATAACGACACACCTTTAGGTCATTGAAAATAGCATGCTTTAAGTTTGAATCTCTACTAAATAAGGTTTGAATATGGTCGAGACATGAATCTGTCTTATATATATATATATATATATATATATATATATATATATATATATATATATATATATATATATATATATATATATATATATATATATATATAAAACATCTCTGTGTGTGAATGTGTGAGTGCAACATGGTTTAGATATAATTGTTATGAATGTATGATTTACCTTTGGACGAAATATCATCTTGTACACATTGCGAGCAAACATGGAGCTGGCAGAGAGAATGGAAGAATCAGCAGACGACATAACAGCGGCCGCCACAGCACCAAGTCCGAAGAAGGAGACCCAGGTGGGGGTCAGGTACTGCAGCACCAGGGGGAGGATGTTAGAGACCAGTTCCGGAGGGATAGGGACAGGCTTATTGTCTTCTGTCGCGTACCTTGTAGCATTCCAGTCTTAGAAGGCAAAACAAACAAAAAAAGAAAAGGTCATACATTGTATACTGCTCAACTTAAGTTCAATCAATTTGAAATTTCTTTTTTTTTTTTACGTTCCAGGATGCTCAACTACCTTCTTAACTACAGATTAACATAAATTATAATTTTGTTTTATATCTATAACTGTAAGAGAAAATTCTAACAGTTAAATTGTTAAGTCGTGATCCTCCATTAACAGCAAATTTCTGTCAAATTTTTCCAGCAAAGTATGTGAAATTGCGCAAGTATTTTTTTTAACTTTAAAATAAATTTCCTTTAAAAAAAGATTAGCATAGAAACGATATTTTATATAATGATGACCTTAAACACTTGTCATTGTTCTGTTTCAGGATAATAATTGAATCTTATTGCAAATAAAAACGTGCTTTACATCGAATTTCTCAATTTTTGCTGAAAGGACTATATTCTGTAATGCTCCCCAAATCAAACTTTGATGGAGAATCTAAAATTATTTTCTAAACCAAGGGAATATATGCAAGCTTGAAGGCATTATATATTTTCATCAGCCATGATGCCGTACGTTATAGGTATGACGCCAAGAAAACGATTCAAAATCTCAATGATTTGGAGAGAGAAAAGTGTATTTCATGTCGATATTTTGATTAAACATCGAACACAGGTCTGTCCCACCTTGATGTTTTGATAAAAGGTTAGAATGATAATATTAATAAAATTCGTGGATACTGTGTTGGGGCAAGCTTGCGCTCAGATAATTCTATTCTCAAAATTGAACGAATTTGTTTATTTTGTCCCCTTAAATGAAAATGATGGAAAACCCTAAAAGTCTGTGGAGTCACAGAAACAAGAATTGCCGATAATTTACTTCCAAACAAAAATAATTTTATCAATTTAGGTTTTTCCTACAATATAAAATATTGTGCATATTTTTATAAATTTTCATTTGGCTTTTATGGGGCAAAAATATACTTTTACCATATATAGTTCTTAATCAATTTTAAATATGTTTACCTTCCACCACAACTCAGAGAGCAAGCTATCAATCGGATAAATGCCACATAATTCAAAGTAAATGCTATATATACATGTACTAAAAAAAATCAGAATACCGTTTTTAACACGCACGGTAGTGATTTTATAGTAGATAAACGTAGTGTTTATAGAGTATTAACCTGTGTTGGCAGCGATGGCGCCAATTAAGACGGAGGGAATGGAAAGGACGATACAGCCAAATCCCGCCATGACAGACAGAATCTGGGCATTAAATGCGGACTTAGCTGATAATACCCGCTGGAAGTAAGCTTGCCATGGGATGCCACCGAGCATAATCAACAGGAAGGAGTCGATGTAGTAACCTATATACTTAGGGTCTAACTCTTTGATCCAGACAGCTGAGGAATTGGTGGTTATGCTAGTGACATGAGTGTTTGTCATGGCAAATGGAACACTGAGCCACTAAAAATAAATTTATCAACAAACAGAAAATTTATCATTATTGCTCTAAAATTCAGGAAACGGTAAAAACATATTCAACGTTAACCATTACCAATATTTCAACAATGTTTTTTTTAAGCCATAACATAGTGTCCAGTTAAAATTAGTGATAAATTAATTAGTGATAAATTAATTAGTGGATGAAAATTCATTGTAACATTTTTCAGTGGAACTAAATAATAACTTAATATGCGATGCAAATATGTAATTAAAAAAAACTTGTCTAATAGAACCAGAAGTTTTAGCAGCAATGACGTTAATGGAACTCGTACTTACCACGTCATTGGTAATTTGCAAAATTATTTTGTTAAAAACATTCTGATTGTACACACAAGTCTCTGAAGTTCATATTAAAAGATGCTTGAGTTTCTGACTGACAATATCTATGTGATTTTTGGGGACCATGTCTTCCAACAATCAATTGGAATTTCCATGGGTACCAATTGCACCCCATTATTAGCAGACCTATTTTTGTATTCATATGAAGCAGAATTTGTTCAAAATCTTATACGTGAAAAGAAGAACACACTTGCTGTGGCCTTCAACTCGACATTTAGATATATTGACGACGTATTGTCAATTAACAATGGTTATTTCCATTCTTACGTCGATACATATATCCCAGTGAGCTTGATATAAAAGATACCACAGAGTCTGACACATCTGTTTTATATTTGAACTTTAAACTTTAAACATCAACTTCCCTTACATATGCAGCAATATACCTTCATCACCTGCATATGGGGTTTATATTTCTCGGTTGATTCCATACGCAAGAGCATGCTCTAGGTATGAACAGCTTCTAAAACAAGATAGGTTATTTACAAACAAGTTGATGAAACAAGAATATCAGCATTCTTGTTTAAAGTCGTCATTTCGTAAGTTCTATGATCGATACAAGGACCTTGTCAGCAAATACAATTTATCATTAAGTCAAAATGCTGACTGACGTTTTTCATACTTATTGTTAGGCCATTGTTTACATACTGAATCGTCGACGGTTTTTTTCCGTTATTTCCCGATCATGACAAGAAGCACACGGCGGGTGTGGCCGGTCGGCAGGGGATGTTCACTCCTCCATGGCAAATGATCCGTATTTGCTCTGCTCCAAAATTTGCATTGTTTAATGGACTTTTGAGCTTGAATTCTGTTAATTATCTCCACACATTTTATTTCATTACGTCCCGTATCAGCACAAATTCAGAGGGCGTAAAGGGGTACTATTTCCATAAATTTTGACAACTTTGCTAAGATAAAGGTAAAAAAAACTCTGTATTTCCACTTTCAAAAGCTTTTTCAGGAAATGCTTAAAGTCATGTAACATTGTAATTTCACAAATTTTCCACAGTTTATTAATTTTCACCTATATTAGATTTTGCGTTCGTATTGATCAACCTTATTGGGCGAGGGTGTAATAAGAAAGGGACAGTCGGTCCCGAAAATTTATATTTATGTCCTTGATCATCTTACGTAATTAATCTATCTTGTTTTGGCCTTCTGTCTTAGTAGATCCGACGTCTAGGATATTATGTGTTGGTGGTGGTGTTGTGACTAATTAAGAATACGCGATCAAATGTAGCTAAATGAGAGGATCTGTAATCCAGAATGTTTTTGGATAGAAAACAAGACTTGATATACTTTCATTTCTTTTTCTTCTTTGTTAATGTTACCTCAGATTCTAACAAGAGAAATATTGTTGATAAAAATAGAACTGGACGATGTTGACAACTTTTAATCAAATATTATATCGATTCAAAGCAATGCCCATAGGGAAAAATAAATTCTGGATAGGAGAAAAGAGTTCACACAGAGTTGACAATAAAAGTGTTATCACTTGCTCAAGTGTCACCCATTTGTCTGAAAGGTGCCCTGCATGATCAGTCAAGGTCTTTCAATAAAAAAATATTCACGAGTTGTTTGTTTGTGAAATTGATCGTATAATACGTCATTTTTCAACATACATCAATTGTATTTTTAACTTTAATAATACTGTTAAATATATGCAAAATTGTAGACCATATTTCTTTAACTATTTTAATTTTTCAGGTGCAAATTTTCTTTTCATATCGGTTATTTTCTATATTTTATTGGAACTCATTATGTCTTATAATAATTGTCTAGAGCGATGAATTTACACAAAGAATTAACTTAGGCCGTGGAAAATAATAACTTTGTTTCACATCCCTTAATTCTTCAAAAAGGTACCCTCCAGTCCGACCAAAAAACAAACATATTTCAAAAAACATTACAATATTTACAATCATTATCGCACATCAGTATTAATACAAAATGAAAACATTTGAACTTCTTTAAATTTCTGCTTTGCGAACATAGGGTTTTTTATTTGTTCTCTTTTTTTTCTATCAAAGATTTAGAATACTGTAAATATACTAGATTACAATACTTCTATAAAAGACAGATAGAAATTTAAAATATTACAAACCTGTGTTTGTTTTTTTAAACTGGATTTTCCTGAACACCTACCCGCCCAGGTCGTAAAACAGAGAATTAATTTACTGTTGCCTAATAGAATTTGATACGTAAACAGATTCTTCATTTTGAACTTAAGTTAAAAGTATTTGTTTTTTCAAAGTTTAATCTAATGAAAACCGTCCCTGCAAATATATATAAATTGAAAGAATAAATTAAAGTGTTTCAAATACCCCCTTTTCTTATGTTACACGCTTGTGTGTACCAGCTTCAGGTGATCTATACAAAAAATTGCTGCTCTAATATCAATATTCCAGTTCCTCATCAAATCCATCAGATATTTAATTTTAAATGTGATAATAAAGCAAATCTACACAGTTTGGTGGAATACAGGTACATGATGTATACTTACAAGACCAATAAAGATACAGGATAGCTGCATGATGTCTGTGTAGGCTACAGAGTAGAGGCCCCCAAAGAGAGTATAGAACACCGCGATACATGACGAGATTGTTATAGACAACGTTTGGTCCAAGTCCAGGATAACCGCCAAGGTGGCACCTGTGACGTCATTGTAAATCATTATTTTGCAATAATTTACACTACATGTGGATCTTTTTTTTTTTTTTTTTTTTTTTTAACGATATTATAATTTCATGGAAAATAGATGTGTTGACTTTTAGAACTTCTCGCAGAGAAGTCCTACCTCAACCTAGTGCTGTCAAGTACAAGGAACGACAACTTTGTCAAGAGAAAGAAAACTGACATTGTATGTTTATTGAGTGGTGAGGACAATCATACCTAGAGCAGCCAGAATGGCCCCGCACCAGAACGTCTCAGCCAGCAGAGCCGGTACGTACAACAACCCGCCCATTCTTTCCCCATAAGTTCTGCTAAAAGGGTCTAACATCGTGACGTAACCCTGAGACCGCATTCTCTTGGCAAAAAATACCCCGCCTGTAATGAAAAATTACTTTGTCTTTTATTTTTTTTTTACTAATTTTACTTTGGTAAGAAGTATTTATACTCCGAAAAGTAAAGAACACAAAATTACAGCATTTTCGAAGGATGTATGGTATTTTTGACAGTGTGGTACAGGTTCGTTAAGGACTGATTTTATCAGAAAATTTTCTCTGTTTTGCAAAAAGATTTCATGATTATGTATTACTGTAACGTTTTATTTATATACTACTGACTTTTTAAAAGTAATACAAGATTTTCTTACCCAGCGCTAAACTAATGGCATACCCTAGGGGTGCCTGGCACCATACCAGCCCGTCCTTATACACCGACTCAGCTGTTCCATTGATAAATCCACCTCCCACCCATGTGGCTGCAATAATATGTCACATGACTTAAATTGATTGATGCACAATAAATTGTACACATATCATCTACATGTATTATCTTCATCTGTATTGATACTCATATGTTAAACATTGATAATTATATGTTATACATGTATATGTTTATATATATCTAGGAGGAAGAAGCCCTGTCCCTGAGGCCATGTTGAACACAATTTTGAAAGAGGCACCCTAGCTTATCATAACAATGCACTTAGTTTATCTTCTAAATACTCAGAAGCTGAGAAGTTTTTTAAAAAAAATGAATAATGCATTTTCACTATATAATGAATAAAGCCCCACCCTGACACCAAAACTCCTTCCCATGAATTTCACAATTCCGTAAGAGATACCCTTGGTCATCATAACCAAGCACTACGTATATTTGCTAAATACCCAGGAGAAGAGAAAAAAGATTTTTAAAAGAAATGGTGCATTGTTAAAACAATATGATCAATAAAGCTCCGCCCTTAGGCCAAAACCTCTATCCTGGGGCCAAGAATCTCACAATAATTGATCATGATCATGATGGTCTCAACACCTACCGTGAAATGGGGCATCATTTTTAATGTCTCATTCAATAGACTCGTGTCTCTTAAATGCTAATGTTTATGTTGGGAACAGTCACTACCTATTTTAGTCCTTGGCCGGAGTCAAACTCAAGACCCGATTTGAGTTTCAAAAAGTAACTGAGACAACATATACAATTAAATTACAAGCACATGCAACATACTAAATACGCAGATATTTTTAAAAACATTAAACGGTAGATCGTAAGACAACCAATTAATTATAATAAGTGAGTATGAAAATCAAAAGTTAAAGTAATTGGATTCCTCAGATTTCCACTGTCTGTAGACATTGTGTAAGAATATTCTCCATAACAGACACGAAATAAGTAAAAAGTGTGAAAACATTAATTCCATCGAATCCTTAAGGTAAGTAAATGAAGTAAAATGATAAATTCTACAGCAGTTTTGTATACAGAAAAAAATGCACGTGCAAACCTATTACATCATTTTTTTTAACTGATTGATGGCTAGAAAAACAGATCAGGTTTCCACAGAAAATATCCGAAGACCATAAGGACTAGATGTAGATACTATTACACAAAATATACCAATGAAAGAAGAAGTCAATATTTACTTTTTTGAGGTTATTTACTTTTTTGAGGTTATAGTCTTCTCCGAGATGCTTATTAGCCTTTAGATTGATCCTATAGGAGTCGGTGTATATATCTAGTCTCAAATGTAATACACATGTCATGTCATTTTTTAGGTTTTATTAATCTTGAAAGATTCACCACGTTTACTATTACTAACTAATTCTTAATTTACTTTATATCTTTACTGCTTACTTTCGCAGTGAAATTATCATCTTGCATGGTATGCAATACAAGTGTTATTTGTATGTTTTTGTAATTTGTTTTTGTCAGTCAGTGGGAACCATAACATTCGCAAGCAGGTGCTTTCTTGTTCATGTAATTAACTAATTTTTAATTATCATAGACTTTACACATATAGTTTCAAAATATTTCATTTAAAAATATGAAAGCAACTATTTGAATGATGACAATTTTATTTATTGCACACGCATGCGCGCACTTCTTCAACAGGTGAGTAGTTTCAAGAATACTTTAAAATAAATAAAGGACCTGGAAATGTAAAATGACAGGGTAAAACCAAATATTTTCAACTTATGTTTTAGGAACATGATTAAATAACCAAACTTTAGAAATATCTTACTTGGCTACTTATACCAAAAAGCAATTTAGTAATATTAACATATTTCAATGTTAAGAAATCTGTGTATCTAACCCGTCATTGTGAATATTCCGACGAAGAGGCTGATATTCCGATTTGCCAACATCACATTTTCACTGTTCGTTTCCCCTTTGGTTTTTCTCGCTGCCCATAGTCCGAGGGCAAGAATCAACAGGTAGAAAATAACTACGGCTATAATTCCTGGGACATTGACAGCCATCTCTCAGGGACAACACTGAAACAAGGGCCTTCTCGTGGTGTAGATTTATATATATAAAACCAAATTCTGTGATTGATAGACCGAAACACACATTACCTCGGTACACAAAGCAGTTAAGGATAAAAAAAAGTGTGGTGACTTGTTTGATGTTAATGGACTTTTATGGTGAAAGTAAACTCGGACAACTGAAAATAAAATTGCAAAACCTAAGGTCAATGTAAAAAAAAGTTTAAACTTGGCTTGGTGCTCAATCCTTATACACTTTTTATCCAAATTATAATTACATGGTTACATGTACATGTATGTAGGTTCTCTGACGAAAATCAATCATTACCTACGTCCTCGCCTCTCTAGATTCGCGATTTTTATCAACATATCGATTAAATTCTGATCATTTTTATTCTAATTTTATATAAATTAAAAAAAAATAATCACAAAGAACATCAAAATATCAAACTTTGACTGAATAAACTTGAAGAAAGAAAACTATGAATTACTGCTTAGTAGAGATTTCTGATGTTACAATGTCTAGTGTCTCAGCCTCTGTCCTAGCTGTAGTCTGATGTTACGATGTCTAGTGTCTCAGACTGTCCTAGCTGTAGTCTGATGTTACGATGTCTAGTGTCTCAGACTGTCCTAGCTGTAGTCTAATGTTACGATGTCTAGTGTCTCAGACTCTGTCCTAGCTGTAGTCTGATGTTACGATGATGTTACTCTGTCCTAGCTGTAGTCACAGCCTTGGTGTCAACCTTTTTCCTTACAAGTTACAACTATATGCACTCAGTTTTAAGGAAACTACGCCCCAACCATTCCATTTAATTCTTGGACCAGAATTTACAAAACTTTTTTGAATCGTTCTTCTACGATGGATGCGAAACAAGGTATATGTAAAATATTTTAAACGCCCCCCCCCCCCCTTCCTCAACACACCAGTGAAAATCCTAGATCCGCTTCTGTTAACCCCTCTTCTGACAAAATGAATACAACAAATATAGTCATATCCTCTTCGAAGGCATTAAACATGCATTATAGTCTTGTACAAGCAAAACCTATAGAATACTTTTCTTCAATGATCACTTTCTACATATCTATAAATCTTACTTTTTTTGCTATGTTCAGATAAATATACCTTGTTTGATTTCTAAATATTTTGATTAGAAGATCGTAAGACTGAATTAAGATGAAAAGTTTGCCAAGGGGGATTCATACAGTGTTAAATCGTGTCTTAATCGCATTTTCCAAGTAAGGTTTTAATATGCAATTTATATCCTTACAATTGATGTTTTTGAGAAGCGTGGAAAACAAATATTTCCAGTTTTCACACAGTTGTCAATACATTTGTTTTATGGTGAAAAAAATACCGACCCGTATCTCCAGTTATGGGGATTTTTTCCTTATATTTTCCTTATTGAAAAAATGCAAGATGTACATCTAATATTATCTATCCATTATCACTCTTAGAATTATCTAGAATTATTTAATTACACAAGTCTCAAACTGAAGCTTTAACTACACAAGTCTCAAACTGAAGCTTGAAATAGATGCAATAAATGAAATAAACTCCATAAAAGTAGAAAAAATACATTTTTAGAAAATTGAATTCCCTATAAATATATTTATTAGCATCAAATGAAATTGGAATTGATCTGTGGTATTTTTCAATGATATCACATGATTTTTACTCTATGTATTATATAACACGTGAAGTTACTAGAACGCTAAATACCGCATTTTTTTTCTTACAAAAATATATGAAGGATGTATTCAGGATTTCAAAAGAATTTACTAATAGGAGAGAATAATTTCCCGGAAATACGCAGATTTCAAAATCAATGATTATTAATTATTTTCTACCGCATATATGTCTATTTTTTTCAAATTTGCATTTTGAACCTAAAATTTACTATTTGCAACTTCAGAATTAAACCCATTTTTGCACGGATTTAGGCCTAGAAGTCCTACAAGGCAGGGCAGGCCTGGTCCTTATTAAAATTATGATATTTTGAGAGGAATAATTTAAAATAGGATTTTTCTAGAAGCACTTGAAATTAAGTTAAAATTCAGGGCCTCCGGTAATGGCAATTTGTGAAGCTCTGCACACATCACTGAGCACGGATTGATATTACTGGTGAGTTGGTTTTGCTCTCTAACATTTCTAACGAATTTTCTGGATTATAGTTTTAACATTTTTTATTAATACACAACAAAATTTCTACTTTTCTTAAGTATCAAAGATAAGGTTGTAAAAGTGCAAGGATGTGTCAATCAAACGCGTCCAGAAATTCGAAGTTTCAATAATTTCCAGATAAAATAAGTTTGTTTTTTTTATTATATTTCCATGTGAAATGCTATAGCAACAATTAAGTCATGATATTGTACAGAAAATTTTGAGAAAATATTAACTTCAAATCTGTGTTCAGACCCCTTTAAATTCTTATAGCAGATTTAAGCTTAATGTTTTTCAGTCAACAAATTTGTTGAACTTATAGTCCACTTTCTAAGGATGAAATTAAAAAAATAATTGAAATCTATTTGAGGTATCCCGTCAAGACTAAAGTGTTGACGGAAACAGCCGGACGAAATGACAGACGTGATGACTCCTATTAGAGCTCATGTATTTTAATGCAGGGCTCTAATGAAAATCCTTTGTTGTAATAAGAATCATAGCAATGAATTATTCCGAACCCTTATTTGTTTGTTTGTGGTATGTATCATTTCCCACCTCTCTACAATGTACTGTAAACCAACTTTAATTTGCGTGCGAGAAATATTGCAAGTTACGCGACCTACTTTAACATGCAAATATTAATCACCGCGAACCATTTATTTTGCTTTGTATTTGTAGAGAATGTTTTAATTCCTCAGTCGCGAAAATTATAATCGTCGTGGTTTAGAATCGGAAAAGATGACGCAAATAATAGTTGGTTTACAGTATATTTCTACTTATATAGAACAAAGTGTATAATTTTCATACAACTGATGTTATGCGCTGTACTTCTTCCATGGGATCTCAAATACAGAAGGAACTGTGCCATTGTATGTCTTACAAAACCTTGTACCTACTAGTATATTAAAGCTGAACAAGACTCGTAAATAGGCATACTCCATATTAATTTTATCATCTCCGATATCAGCACTGGGGTATACACTTCGCATTCGTTACATTTTATAGCAGTGTACGTGTATTTATGTTTGTTTGTATACTGCACTAACCTGTGCAACTTTTGTTCTTTGGTATCTTTCTCTCCTGCCGTGGAAGAAGCACACAGTTACTTTTTTCGCTACCGAGTGCTTTACAATAGCTATATAGCATACGTCCGTCTACATCGGTGACAACAGATTGCACTGAAGAGTGACTAAGTGAACGGCTTATATAGGGGCCCTCAGATATAAGGACTGCATAAAAGAATATGGCGGACAAATTCTTTTTGCGAATCGTGTTCACCTTTAATGATTATATCAGTAAAAATCAGTACATCTTAAGTCTTGAAGAAGTATCTCATAAAGATAATACAAAATATATATGTTTTATATAATTTATTAAGTGCTGAGTTACAGGCCAGGTCTCTGGCCAGCGAGACTGACCCTGACTTGTATCCCGTAATGGTCCGAGGGGTAGACAGCCAGGTCAGTTATTACTTCATCCATCACTCTCTAAAACATCCAAAAATTTATATAATTACTTGATTGATCAAGATGATAGTTTTCTTTTAGTGTTTGACAAAAATACGCCAAAAACATTTAAAAGCTATAATTTTGATCCGAATAAGATGTGCCAAACTATGAATTCTTTTAGATATGCAATACTTGTATGATGTTTCCCTAAAATCCTGTTGGGTCCAGAGAGAAAATCCATCTTTGTATGCAGAGATATGAAATGCAATGTACATATGAAGACTATAATGGTAAAATGACGATCTAAAGCATTCAAGTGTTTGATAATATTAAGACATTCTTGTGAGGAATTTATTTCTTGTACATTTTGCTAAGTCCAAATGGCCTACAGCATCAACGCCACTATCAAAAGCAGTTATGTATGTTGTGCAGAGGTCAATATGAAGTACAAATGATAGACTCCTTTTTTAAATAACTCACCTGAGCCTGTTCAGCTCTCTGGCCTCTGATTAGGATATGATCCAGAATCCAGTCTGTTTTATAAGGAACGAGATTGTTCCCAGAACAAAACGTACACAACCCATAAAGGTCAATGTACGGCGTGGAATAGTTACCAGTCTTGAATAGTTCCAATGTGTCTGAGAATAGAGAAGGCACAGGATTCGTGTTTTCAGTTTTACAATTCTTATTGACACAATTATAATACATGTAACTTTTTAAAAAAAAAATAGGTAGGAAAATGTGTATTAAGGTAAGTTTAATTACAAATGTTCAGTCAATGTGAAAAGTCCCATTTATACACCCCCCAAGCTCTACTTGTAAAATATCTTGGATTTACCGTTGTATTAATCAAAATTTAGATCGCCTCATTGAATTTTGAATACTGTCTTACCCTCAAAATCCCCTTGAATCTGTTTGCCAGGAATAGAGGGGCTAGAGTTTAGATCCCCCATGATGACAGAGGATGTAAAGGGGGACAAATCTTTCATTAGAATCCTGGCGTCTTTCATGTTTTCTTCTTTCCAGCTGTGAAATTTGGACTTCAGATTCGCTGAAAATAGAAGAAATTCATTTTAAACGTTCAATTTAGCCTTACGTCAGTGATTTTCATTGCAATACTTTGCATGATTAAAAATCAATCTATAAAATGTATTATAACTCTATGTATAAATACTTACGTTCATAGTATATTTTGCCTAAGTCAGCAGTTGTATGTGTGCATGCAACAGTACCAAGTCCTAAAACCTATACAGAAACATAGAGAGAGTGAAGAGTATTCCAACCATAAACCTTAAAACGTAAAATACTGGCAGAATTGTTAATCGAAATTCACCTCGACCATAAGATATCCTCGTGGTAAGATTTGCTTCACATTAGGCCGGAAGTAAACCATTTTATGCTGACGTAATTTCATCTTGCTCAGAACCAGCAGCCCTGGGACGTTCATCTGGTTCTCAACAGCGCCAAGACAATCACTGAAGGCGGTCTGGGCTGTGAAGGAACTCATCGTTATGCACGTGATACACTGCTGAGGAAGATCCATGAAGCCAGCCTTCTCAGTTACACAGTCCAAACGAGCTATCTCGCTTTTTAAGGCCCTACAACCTGATTGCAATTAAGTTTGAAGTTTATTATAACTTGAAGGATTATAATTTAACTACTAGTATTTCAGTTTCCAATCACAAAACACTAATATACAATGTTTTACCTGCAACTAGCTCTATTGGATTTTTTTTGTCTAATGTATTATTGACTTACCATACCACCACATTTTAAAGAACATTTTGATGACATCACTTCTGGCACAAGGAGGCCAGTGGAGACCATTGCTATTCAGCAGGCTGGTGGTGTCGTTATGTATTGCACTAAATGAATATGGATAGGTGGCGCTGTTTTCTTTCACAATTTTATACAGATCTCGGTAATGCCAAACCTGTGAAATACATAGTAAGTATATCTTCAAAAGCCAAGGGTTTTCAGCCCACTCCGCCCTAGCTCCACTCGTTTCTGGAGAGAGGAGTAGACCAAAATTCCTTTGTTAATGAAACTAAATACATGTAATGCATGTACGAGTACATGAGTCGGAGCTGTACATAAATCGTTTTGGTTCTTCCAAATCGCAGACTATCGGATACCTCTGTATGTGTTCATGTGTCAAAAGTGCTAAATAAATATTATAATAATCTCAGGCAGGGCTCTTTTTAGGTCACCTGAGTCACTCAGGTGACCTACATGTATTGCTATCCGTTCTCGTCCGTCGGCGTGCGTCGTGCGTCGTGTGTTAACATTTGAACATTTTTAGCTTCTTCTCTGAAACCGCTCAACCAATTTCAACCAAATTTGGCATATAGCATCTATGGGTGAAGGGGAACAAAAATTGTGAATTTCATGGTCCCTGCCCCCCTGGGGCCTGAGGGGTGGGGCTAAAACCACCAAAAATAATGCAATCTTTAAAAATCTTCTTCTTTACTCCAGGACATCAAGCAGTCAAACTGTTGGCATCATTGTAATAAGCAGTGAGCCCTCTACCAAAATTGTGAAATTCATGGCCCCAGGGTCAGGGGTTCTGGCCACAGGGTGGGGCTATATAGATCATATAGTGAAAGTGCATTATTTCTTTGAAAATCTTCTTCTCTGCTCCTGGGTATTAAATAAAGTAACTAAGTACATAGTTATGAAGAGCAAGAGTGCCTCTTCCAAAATTGTGAAATTCATGGCCCCAGGGTCAGGGGTTCTGGTGTTAGGGCGGGGCTCTATTGATTATATAATGAAAATGCATTAATTCTTTGAAAATCTTCTTCTGTGCTCCTGGGTATTAAATAAAGTAACTAAGTACATAGTTATGATGAGCAAGAGTGCCTCTTCCGAAATTGTGAAATTCATGGCCCCTGGGTCAGGGGTTCTGGCCCCAGGGTGGGGCTATATAGATCATATAGTGAAAGTGCATTATTTCTTTGAAAATCTTCTTCTCTGCTCCTGGGTATTAAATAAAGTAACTAAGTACATAGTTATATATAGCAAGAGTGCCTCTTCCAAAATTGTGAAATTCATGGCCCCAGGGTCAGGGGTTCTGGTGTTAGGGCGGGGCTCTATTGATTATATAATGAAAATGCATTAATTCTTTGAAAATCTTCTTCTGTGCTCCTGGGTATTAAATAAAGTAACTAAGTACATAGTTATGATGAGCAAGAGTGCCTCTTCCGAAATTGTGAAATTCATGGCCCCTGGGTCAGGGGTTCTGGCCCCAGGGTGGGGCTATATAGATCATATAGTGAAAGTGCATTATTTCTTTGAAAATCTTCTTCTCTGCTCCTGGGTATTAAATAAAGTAACTAAGTACATAGTTATATATAGCAAGAGTGCCTCTTCCAAAATTGTGAAATTCATGGCCCCAGGGTCAGGGGTTCTGGTGTTAGGGTGGGGCTCTATTGATTATATAGTGAAAATGCATTAATTCTTTGAAAATCTTCTTCTGTGCTCCTGGGTATTAAATAAAGTAACTAAGTACATAGTTATGATGAGCAAGAGTGCCTCTTCCGAAATTGTGAAATTCATGGCCCCTGGGTCAGGGGTTCTGGCCCCAGGGTGGGGCTATATAGATCATATAGTGAAAGTGCATTATTTCTTTGAAAATCTTCTTCTCTGCTCCTGGGTATTAAATAAAGTAACTAAGTACATAGATATATATAGCAAGAGTGCCTCTTCCAAAATTGTGAAATTCATGGCCCCAGGGTCAGGGGTTCTGGTGTTAGGGTGGGGCTCTATTGATTATATAGTGAAAATGCATTAATTCTTTGAAAATCTTCTTCTGTGCTCCTGGATATTAAATAAAGTAACAAAGTACATGGTTATGATGAGCAAGAGTGCCTCTTCCGAAATTGTGAAATTCATGGCCCCTGGGTCAGGGGTTCTGGCCACAGGGTGGGGCTATATAGATCATATAGTGAAAGTGCATTAATTTTTTGAAAATCCTCTTCTCTGCTCCTGGGTATTTAATAAAGTACCTAAGTACATAGTTATGAAGAGCAAGAGTGCCTCTTCCAAAATTGTGAAATTCATGGCCCCAGGGTCAGGGGTTCTGGTGTAAGGGCAGGGCTCTATTGATTATGTAGTGAAAATGCATTAATTCTTTGAAAATCTTCTTCTCTGCTCCTGGATATTGAATAAAGTAACTAGGTACATAGTTATGATGAGCAAGAGTGCTTCTACAAAAATTGTGAAATTCATGGCCCCAGGGTCAGGGGTTCTAGTGTTAGGGCGGGGCTCTATTGATTATCTATTGAAAATGCATTAATTCTTTGAAAACTTCTTCTGTGCTCCTGGGTATTAAATAAAGTAACTAAGTACATAGTTATGATGAGCAAAAGTGCCTTTTCGAAAATTTTGAATTTCATGGTCCCAGGGTCAGGGATTCTGGTGTTAGGGCGGGGCTCTATTGATTATATAGTGAAAATGCATTGATTCTTTGAAAATTGTCGTCTCTGCTACTGGAGATTATTTAAACATAAAGATGCCTTTTCAAAAATTGTGAATTTCATGGCCCCAGGGACAGGGGTTCTGGTGTTAGGACGGGACTCTATTGATTATATAGTGGAAATGCATTGATTCTTGAAAATCCTCTTCTCTGCTACTGGAGATTATTTAAACAAACTAAGTGCATGATTATGATAGGCAAGGATGCCTCTTCCAAAATTTTCAAATATATGGCCTCAGTTTTTGGGGTTCTTGAGGAAGGAGGGGGGGGGGGCTCTATTGATTATATAGTGAAAAAGCATTAATTCTATTAATTAATAATTAATTAATCCTGTCTGCTCCTTAGCGTTGAGCTGATAAATAAATTGCTTAGCTATGATGAAAATGTGAGCTTCGAACAGAATTTTTAAATCTTGTGGTCCTAGGGTCAGGGGTTCTGGCATAACTGGGGGGGGGGGGGGCTTTTGATAATATAGTGGAAAAGTGTTAATTCTTTGAAGTCCATAGGTATGATGATGAGGGTAACTCTTCCAAATTTGTAAATTTCTTGACCCTTGGTCTTGGGTTCTGGTGTTAGGGTAAGGCTTTGTTGAATCTGTAGTGAAAATGCATTGTACCTGTGAAATTCTTCTCTGCTTCTGGGCATATTGGAAGAAAACTGAGTAAAAGTTTAAATGATATAAGTAAGCGTATTTCTACCAGATTTTTGAACATCTGGATCATTTGTCTAAGCATTCTAGTCCTGGGCAGGGCTCTATTAATTTTTATTCTACTGAGAGAAGTTATTCCCCTTTTCCATTCACCTTTGATAATTAATCACTGTAAATAATGTATTTGAAAGGTTAATAGAATAAGATAATTATGCAAGAATGTTTATCATATAATTCAAAAAGTATTTTCTTAGTTTTAATAATCAGGTTGACCTGTAAGTAATAGATAAATAAAAATGAGACAAAAATAACTTATCTTATTTAAAGTTCTTCAAAGACCATAAGAGAGGTCAATGCTAGAGCTCTAAATATGGGTTTAAAAATAGTATTGAAGCACTAATAGTTTGATAATAGTCTGCATGGTGATAGTGTTAAGTGGGGGACAGATTAGAACTTAATTTATGAGTTGATACTGAATACTAGACTAATTATTTTGTTGATCCTGATCTTCCTACTTCTCTTGCTTTAGGGCAACAAAGCTTCATCTATTAGTGTATTTAACTTCCAAATTGTTGTATTATACTCAGGTGACCGTTAAGGCCCTTGGGCTTCTTGTACTAAATCACACTTGAAGATTAGTAGTGGTCCGTTTGTGAGGGAATAACTATACTCACCTCTTGAAGGCATATGAAGTCTGGATTACTTTGCGACACTTTCTCTGCAATATATTGAGATCTTTCCTTGTAATACGGGATCCGCGAAGTCAGGCCCGTGTTGTAGGACATCAGGCTGACTGTCCTATCCCCTGGATCCGCCACGCTGACAGCCAATATGCATGTCAGCCAATCAAACACTCGTTTCATGACAACTCTACTCTGTGATAATATAAGTTAAACTGTAAATTGTTTTTCAATTTTGACTTTTAAGACTCGATCACGGACATAAAGTAGTAAATAAATATCAAGGAAGAAATGTCCATACTCTTAAGCCGTCTTAGAAATGCTGATGTTGATTTTTTTTTTAAACACACATCTGACACGATCTGTTTAAAGTGTTGTACTGTGATAAGTATTGCGATAAATAAAAAAAAATACTCCAGTCGTTCATATTCCATACCTGGCTTTAAGGCAGAGATTCCTACAAAGAATTGAAGACCGACCCTTCCTTATTAAGTTATTTATCCGTGCTGTCGGTGTGTTATCCAATAGCCAATGTGTCCTGTTTTCCGGTCACGTGCTTTGTATGTCGAGTTATACAGGAACAATAAAATCAACTCACCACGCACCTGCCGGGCTTTTTCTAAAATACCTCGATTTTCCAACGGTAGAAGGGAATTATATTTGTAAATATCTCGATTTATAAAGATCCATGTTATATATCGGAAAAAAAATGTGAATTTAAATCTGTCCATATAGAGAACAACCTTCAATGTTTGAATACCATTTCCGGGGGAGGGATAATTAACTCAGTGATTAAGGCGGTGCGTCTCCCATTCCTACATTGTATTAAACTTTACTTTCATATAATAGAATACTGTTAAAAATAAACCAGTAAGATTTCTTTACATAGACGTTCATTACCGCTGTGCTGTTGAATCTCACCTCTCAAGCATATTATCCCTCAAACCTCATTAGTTGCCATTCTGCATCTTCCAACTGCGGTTGTCTGGCTAGACTGAACAAAATAAAACATTGACGGTTACCTGTATTTAACTTTCATTTTAAAAGAGGCAATTATTTGTTACATGTAATATATTTTTGGTCATTCATTCCCTCGTGCATATTTAAAATAGTTAATCCTGACTGAATAACTTTAATGAAGACTACAGTTACACATGAAAACGCGGCACATAAGTCCTCACTAAAGACTGTAGCCATAAAGCAATTGTAAGTGGGTTGTTAAAAAAGTTCGCGGACGAGTTCAATTGTGAGCGCGCTATTTGCTTGAAACCAGTAAAATCGTAATAATTACATATAAATCAATAAATATAAATTCGATTCTTTCGCCTCCTTTTCTTCCTGTGGAATTACTTTAATTTGAACCCCACTCCAGCTCTGCATCTTTGTGTTTGTGTGATGGTGTTTGTAGGCCCGCAGCAACGATTTTCAAAGTTAGGTGGAAATCACCGAAAAAAAGTTGACAAGCAAAAAAAAAAAACAACAAAAAAAACCCAAAACGTTAACTGGTAAACTGTGAAAAGTCTAAAATCCTATTTCGGGGGTCTTTCGCAAAATTGTCGGTACATTTTCACTAATTTGCCTATGTTTGACCCGACCCCCACCCCACCCACCCACCCACCCCCGCGTACAACGGGCCTGCTCTGTGCGTGTGGGCTTGTGTATTAAAGATATAAACAAAATTAATTTCTATGCAAAGTAAGTTCCAAAGTTACTTTACTGCATGTAATTTTAAACGATGAAATTCTAATTCATTATTTGTTAATCATAATGCGGGAGCTAACGGTTGCAATTATTGCAGAAAACTACGTAAAATTAATATTTTTCTGCAATTATTGTTAATCTTGCATTAGAAAATATAGAACTGTTTACTGTTTATTGTGCATATTTATGTCTGTTAAGTTTGAATAAAGATTTCTACAACCATCCAATGTATTACCTATATTTGTACAACATAAACAATGTTATGTAGCATTGTTCCTTTGTCCAGACATTTTCTCTTCTTTTAGATTTTGTCATACTCTTTTGTAGCAAAACTAAAACTCTATCCTCCAGAACACAACAAGCAAACGAAACATTGAAATCTACTTTTATTTCATAAAACAGGAACCTCATCAATAGTGTGTTGCACTTTTTTTTCAAGAAAGACTATATATTTATAGAAAATCACCTCATCATAAATTCACCAAGTAGGTGCTATAACTTCCTCACAAATTATCCCAATCCAAAGGGCACCTGTCTACAAATTTCACTTGTTTCAAGTATTTCACATAAAATTTCATCATCCATATCCTTTGTTTAACTATCATCCATATCCTTTGTTTAACTGTAGAGAAAATTGTTTATTTCCAGTTTTGCAAATAATGTTTTCAACTGTAAACAATTTTAGATCGGTGTTTTCCTCCAATGCAGCATCAAGTATTTCCTAAATGATAGAGAGAAGAGACGAATATATCAGATATTTATTGGCATTCCCACTAAATCTATATTAACATTATCCTAAGATATAAAATCTTTTTTTTTCTTTCACTGTTGCATGTCATTTTTATGATTTTTTTAGTCTGTATCCACTATTTTTATTTGTTACCTGTAATTTGTTGAGTTTTTCAGAATCTTTACTAATTTCTGGGATAACATCATGTAATTCATTACCTGTAATACCTGTAATTTGTGGAGTGTTTCTTTACTAATTTCTGGAATAACATCATGTAAATCGTTACCTGTAGTTTGTGGAGTGTTTCTTTGCTAATTTCTGGAATAACATCATGTAAACACCATCCAATGCTGATATGGTAAGATGGATCCTAAAATACAAAGCAGAGACAGGTACTTTCCTCATCACGTTCATCTGTGTTATATAATGTCCTAAAGTACAGCATTTCCATTAGGAAACCAATTTCTATTTATTTTATTTGAATTTTAGTACCTTATATATTTAGTATTTTGAAGGTTGTACTAATTTCTATGTATACTTGCTGTACTTGAGTACCTTGTAATATTTTTGAAGCTTGTACTCTTCAAAGCATTCATCAACAGCCTTTGTGTATTCCTGTAGAATATTACCAGGGGCTGAAACAGCCAGAGATAAAAAAGTCCTGGAAAAAATTACAAGAAAAATAGGTACTCAAATATCAGACACGGTCACCTTCATAAGGGGTATCCTCTATATAGTTCTCGCCAAAAAAATCATTTTAATGCATCTGCAGTGAAATAAAAAAATTCCTCAACATTAGTCCTTGTAGTATACCTAAGATATTCAAGTAGCCTGTTTTAAAAATAGCCATTTTTATAAGTCATTTTTGTAAGTCATCTGGTTAAATCCATAATGTGTTCTTAACTTTGTTGTTATTCTTAACTTCTTCTGCAAGAATAAATAGCCATCTGTAAACAAATTTTAAAAATAACCATTTGTGTAAGTCGATCATCTGGATAAATCCATAATGTGTTGTTCTCAACTTTGTTATTCTTAACTTCTTCTTCAAGAAATAATGGCCTTTAATTTGTAAACAAATTTTGTAAGTCATCTGACTAAATCCATAAATAAATGTGTCGTTCTCAACTTTGTTATTCTTAATTTCTTCTGCAAGAAATAACGGCCATTTGTAAACAAATTTTATATCGCCATTTTTGTAAGTCATCTGACTAAATCCATAATGTGTTGTTCTCAACTTTGTTATTCTTTAACTTCTGCAGGAATAAATGGCCATTTGTAAACAAATTGTCTCAAACCATCCCTACCATGGATTTTGAAAATTTCATAAGTAAACAGCACATCTAGAAATGATGATTATCATTAATTTGATGTTTCATTAAGTTTCTCTCAGCCATCTGGGAAAACATTCACAGAAAAATTTTAGGTCTAGCAATAACAATATGTTGCCCAACTACATTTTGGGCTACATAACCTGCAAGAAAAAATTCATGTAAGCTTCAGATATTCTGACCCAATGGTTCTTGAAAAGAGAATTTTGTTATAGATACCATTCAATTTTCATAAATTCTTAATTATTTTTCCTAGAAAGAGAGGGTGGCTCTTTATTTGAACAAATTTTAATCCCTTGAGAATGCTTTATGGGAAGTTTAGTTGAAAATGACTTAATGGTTCTGGAAATAAAGAAATTGAAAAGTTAAAAGTCTACATAGACATACTGTCAGTTGAACAGAAGGATGGACAGTTTAAACAGAAGGATGGTCCATTGAACAGAAGGATTTTCAGTTGAACAGAAGGATGGACAAGTGAACAGAAGAATGGACAGATGAACAGAAAGATGGACAAGTGAACAGAAGGATGGACAGTTGATTGAACAGAAGGATGGACAGGTGAACAGAAGGATGGACAGATGAACAGAAGGATGGACAAGTGAACAGAAGGATGGACAGGTGAACAGAAGGATGGGCAGTTGATTGACAGAAGGATGGACAGTTGAACAGAAGGATGGACAGTTGATTGAACAGAAGGATGGACAGGTGAACAGAAGAATGGACAAGTGAACAGAAGGATGGACAGGTGAACAGAAGGATGGACAGTTGATTGAACAGAAGGATGGACAGGTGATTGAACAGAAGGATGGACAGGTGAACAGAAGGATGGACAAGTGAACAGAAGGATGGACAGGTGAACAGAAGGATGGACAAGTGAACAGAAGGATAGACAGGTGAACAGAAGGATGGACAGTTGATTGAACAGAAGGATGGACAGGTGAACAGAAGGATGGACAGATGAACAGAAGGATGGACAAGTGAACAGAAGGATGGACAGGTGAACAGAAGGATGGGCAGTTGATTGACAGAAGGATGGACAGTTGAACAGAAGGATGGACAGTTGATTGAACAGAAGGATGGACAGGTGAACAGAAGGATGGACAAGTGAACAGAAGGATGGACAGGTGAACAGAAGGATGGGCAGATGAACAGAAGGATGGACAAGTGAACAGAAGGATAGACAGGTGAACAGAAGGATGGACAGTTGATTGAACAGAAGGATGGACAGATGAAAAGAAGGATGGACAGATGAAAAGAAGGATGGACAGGTGAACAGAAGGATGGACAGATGAACAGAAGGATGGGCAGTTGATTGACAGAAGGATGGACAGGTGAACAGAAGGATGAACAGAAGGATGGACAAGTGAACAGAAGGATGGACAGATGAAAAGAAGGATGGACAGTTGAACAGAAGGATGGACAGGTGAACAGAAGGATGGACAGATGATCAGAAGGATGGACAAGTGAACAGAAGGATGGACAGATGAACAGAAGGATGGACAAGTGAACAGAAGGATGGACAGATGAACAGAAGGATGGACAAGTGAACAGAAGGATGGACAGGTGAACAGAAGGATGGACAGATGAACAGAAGGATGGACAGATGAACAGAAGGATGGACAGTTGATTGAACAGAAGGATGAACAGAAGGATGGACAGATGAACAGAAGGATGGACAGATGAACAGATGGATGGACAGATGAACAGAAGGATAGACAGATGATCAGAAGAATGGACAGATGAACAGAAGGATGGACAGTTGATTGAACAGAAGGATGGATAGATGAGCAAAAGAATAGACAGATGAACAAAAGGATGGACAGGTGAACAGAAGGATGGACAGAAGGATGGATAGATGAGCAAATGGATAGACAGATGAACAAAAGGATGGACAGATGAACAGAAGGAAGGACAGATGAACAGAAGAATGGACAGATGAACAGAAGGATGGACACTGGACAAAATATGATCCAATAAGCTCACTTGAGCTTTCAGCTCAGGTGAACTAATCAAGTGAATGTATTATTTGTACAATTTTTCTTCTCTTGAATGTTGAAAAGACAAAATTTTGAGATGAGACAAAAGCCTAAAACATATAACTGACTCTGATTTGAATCAGTTTGATATTAGAAATCAAAACAACTTGATATTTCTAAAATGTATCATAAAATGATAGTCAGATATATCAAAACAACCATGTCAGAACACTATTTTCACATTTATCACAAAGACAATAAGTTTAATACAGTCAAACCTCATTATCCCAAATGCAATAGGACCTAGAAAAAAATTTGAGATATCAAGGGTAAAATAGTTAAAGAATAAGTGGTTTGGGACTTCCAAATCACTTTGACATATCCATGGTATTTAAGATATCAGTGCTGGAGATACCAAAGTTGAACTGTATTTTAGACATAAAATATAAAAAATAATGCTATAGTATATGAATCATAAAAGCATACCTTGTCTTTTCATCATTTGTATACAGTTTAACTGAAGAAAATTCACAACATGTTCTGTAATAGAAAAAATGTTAATTTTAAATAGTATGCAGAGCATTATTGGGAAAGTATGAGTGATTGTAATGATTGTATGACAAGTCACAACATTGATCTGGTATCTTATATTATACAGGGATTTATCAGCCTATTTTGGGAAACGCCATTTTTGGGAAATTGGGAAAAAATTATCGACTATTTGATGAAATTGGGAAAAATTTAAAATGTTGTTTAAATCATGTATTCAGGTGTAATTCATTTAACATTTCAGCATGAACTCTAATTAATTTAAGCAACCAAACAGACAATTAAATATGATCCAACTTCATCATACAAGATCAATTATGAATAATAGACTAATAAAAGTAAAATTGACTTCAATGAGTATAAAGTATTTACCTATACAACTTAGGGTATTACATGTGTTTGAGATTCCAATTTAGGTCATTATACACGTAGAATCTGTTTCTGGAGATTATAAACCTCCTGCAAAAAATTATACTTTTTCTCAAAGTCCTCTTTTAATATGTATTAAAACATTGAAAATATATTTTTGTATCTGAAATAATGCCTACAGTCCTTACCATTCACTCGTAGATCAATTGAGTAGGTGGAAATAACTTTATAAATCTATACAATTACACAATATCACCATTTTCAGAAAAACAGAGGAAATTCGGATTAAAAGTTGGCGATGTTTTTAATGTGTTTTTAAACATGTGTTTTGACTGTAGCTTTGCTAAATGAGTTAAATAGATGAAAATTACAGACAGTCTGACAATTTTACTCTGTGTTTCCCAAGATAATTAAATATAAAAGCATTGTTCACCAATTGGGAAAAAATACTGCCAAATTGGGAAAATCTGAACTCATTTTCAATTGGGAATGGGGCCGAATTTCGGCCCCTGAGAATGTACTGATAAATCCCTGAATATACATGCCTCTGTAAGGATCTCAATCTGTTCTGTAAACTGTCTGTCAGAGGTTTGATCCAGTGGTGTCTAATAGCAACAGTTCGGGACAAACTTAAATGAAGCTCTTTCATTGGTTTAAAATCAAGTGGTCTTAAGCACAGTAACAATTCTCCAATCAATTCTCTCATTCTTTCATCAGGATCATCTGAATTTTACAAGAAACGTGAATTACAGAAGTATCTGGCATTATCATGATTATATGACAAAAGGAAAGTTATATGCTTAATAACTAATCTCTTCTAGTGCAAAATGGCATATTAGGGACAGCCATTATGATACATTTCATGTGGACACATACAACAAAACTTGAGTGTTATTAGCTACCAAGAGAAGATGGACACCTTACTATCGCATAAGCTCTTCTGGTCTCTGACCAGTAGAGCTAAAAAATACATGAAATAAATATTTATTATTCTTCTCTAGAATGCATAGGTAAAATACAGGTAAATCCTAACCAGAAATCAGACTATAAGTGTTATCAAAACACATTTCACACCTATTGTTCTATACCTAATTATCAAATGTGTGCAAAACAGGAACACACCCAAGAGGTCTCTCCTTGATAGGATTTAGGTGACCAGTGATTTACTGCATGACCACTATCAGTGGATAGTGTTGATGCCACCCATCCCCCCTTCTTCCCCCAAACTGAGAGGATTTTTATGGCCACTATCTAAGTAAAATGAAAGATCTGTCACTTAATTTACTTATTCTAGAGTTGAGAGACAGTGAGAATGTCTAAATGCTATAATAATTATATTTCTTTCCTTTAGAAGTTTTACACATACAAATGACATCAGAACCTAGAAATTTGAATGATATCCATGGAGTTGGTTTGTGTCACCAAAATCTACCTTAATTCAAGGAATGAACTTGACAATACAAAATCTGAAGGCTGCCTTACTGAATTTTACAATCATCAATGCTCAAGCACCAGGCCTTGAATGTAACTTATTTATAATTAATATAATTAATAATTATTGTAAGTTATAAAAATCCATATAATTTTAACTCAAACTATACCCACATGGAACACTGATGTGAGTGGCCCAGTTTCCTTCTAAATGTTCAAATGACCTAGTTCTTCCCTCATGGTCCTCGGGGTTATCTAAATGTTTATCTCCTTTTGAAAATAGTGATTTTATTGTGTCTGGCAGAGGAAGGACTGCAGTAGACCTGTCAGAAAAAACATCCAGTTTGTTAAATACATAAGATTGTAGTGCCGTCGAGTGGTAAACAGCTTTATTTATTCCCTCATACAGTAAAATGAAAATATTTCCTGTTTTAAAATCTCCTCAATGTTTGAAATAAAATGATCTGGTAAGTTTTATATACAATTTATTTACAGGGACAGGTGCCCATAAAACACATCACAATAATATGAAGACAATAATCCAGTATCTTTTGAACGTTCTATATACACATAAATCCCTAACAACACAGTGACTAACTGACCCAAAATTTCCCCCATATAATTATATACATGTACCCGCTGGCTGATGCTCATAAGGAGCATCACCTTCAAAACAAAAAGAATTGCATAACAAACTAACCAATCCTCGCGAGGAGCATCAAGTAGCTATCTAAAAATAGCTATAAAAACAATAATTGACCGTTAGCATAATTAAATATTAAATAAACTAAACAATTTTTTTTTTCAATTAACCTAAATCACTACAAGATCTAAATTGAACTTAGAACTTTTTAAGAATTGCTGTTAAAATCAAAGCTTTCAGGGCACAGGTGGAGCACATTCCCCAGTCACCTAGAAATTTAATTAATCTCTTTTTAAATGTAATGCATCAGTGTGATCTACTCAATGTAGGAATGTTAATCAAAGAAATTTGGAATCTGATGAAAACCTTCTTCAGATATTTAAAAAATCCATCATATATACCTAAAATGCACAGGTGAACCTGCCTTAAACATTTTACAGTCAAATCCGTTTTTGCTCATCTTAAGAAGTGTAACTATACATTAAGTTTCATTACAGTCTCTTCAGACACAAACTTTTGAGAAATGTTGCAGATGGACAGGAGACATTTTTGTTAGTGAGGTGTTTCTGATCTGTCCCACATCTCACAAATCCTAGACATGAGACTGTTTAACAAAGATATTGAGAAAAAATAACTTTGAAAAGTTAATAATCATGTCATTCAAGTCATACATGTATCTCTTAAGAAAAGTGTGACACAACCCAAAGATGGGTCACAAGTACATCACTGGATTTATTTGGGCCCTGAAAATATATCCTGTGGATTCCTTTAATCATGCTGTCTGTTCTCTCCATCATGTATGGATAAAATGCTATTTTTTCAGTTGAAATATACCTTATAAAGTTGCCATACATCAAACTTTCAATATTTTTCACAATATATAAGGCTATTTTAGTGGTTGGAAAGAGGAAGAGGTTATGTTTGGTGTTAAAAAAGCTAACCATTTATAAAGTTTAATCATAATCACTTTACCATGAAGGTAAAGATGTCTGATTAATCAATGAACAAGCCAAAAAATTGACTTTTTCAAAGATTATAAGAACACGTGTGATGCTTATACCTAATCTTTTTCTCGTTTCCAACACTGTTTTGACTTTGTGGTGACTGTTTTCGCTTCCTTGAAACAGCATCTACAGAGATAGCGTCATGATCATCTGAGTTCTCGCCTTCACTGTCCGAGTACTGCACCAGACTGCTCATATTATTACCTTCTTCCTCACACTCACAGTTTCAGGTAAAGTGAAAGTGAAAATGTCTACTGCAGTATTTTATCTTCAAACATTGAAGAGTTCCATTGTTTATGTTTTCCTTTCAAGGTAAATATTAATATGTGCAGACTGACTAATCGTAATCTAATCTAATTTTGTAAATGACTAAGTGATGTATAACCTTTTATATTAAAAAATCAACGATTTGATAGTATAGACTATAGAGGGGTAGACCAACAGAGGATTCGTTTGCCATTTATGAATTTAGCTAAGTCAGTAAGTGGAACCGTCTCGGCTGTGTAGGTAGATGTGATTGTTTTTGTTGTATGACTTATAGTTTACTAATTGGTGTTTTAACAAATATTGCTGATGCTCTTCAACCTTACTCTAAATTGTAATTTATGTAACTGTTTGGCGAATTTGGGAATCTTGCATTTTGTGATAAGCATTTTTGGACTTACACGTAACTTTATATAATCAGTCAGTTGATTTCCTAAGTGTCTTTGACGACTACCAGACATGTTATTTTTTTCAGTGACTAAATAGTTCATTAGTAGAGCATATTGGGTTTTACTTTAGAGCCCAGTCTCAAATCCTTGTCTAGTACAAGGCACATGTCTATTTCAATTTGGTTCTGTGGCCATGCATTCCCGGGTGTTGGCCAGATGCCTCAGTTGTAAACCACCTGTCTCAAGGTCAGGGGGCCCAGGTTCAAATTCTGGTCTGGCCTTTCCTACTTTATTCCTATTACAAACCCAACTAATTATCAAGCCCTGGACCTTCAAGATACCATGCAGATCCACTTCAATTTTACAACGTTTCACTGAGACAGAAGCGATCTGACCTTCCCCTTCCCTCTTCCCTAGGCTTGAACCGCTATTTAGGTGTATGAGTTGGTTCCAGTGGTAAATTGTCTCAACAGACTCAGTTGGGCTCCCAGACAGTGCACGAGATCTTGCATTTAATCTTTTAAGATTATTGAAGTGGATCCAATTTAATAAGATTAATGAAGTGGATCTATAATCTATAAGATATATTTAATACAGTTATTGCAAAGATCAAAGAAATGCCACGTTCATTACTCTCCAATAAATCACAAACGTCACCAACAAAATATGAATAATTTTAAATCAGTTTTCTCTAATTTTGACAGCTCTTACTAGGAAAAGGACTGAGGCCTCTTTTGATTGTGATGCAAATTAGTGGGAAAAGTATATCTGGGATTCGGTTTACCTTGTACTTTTTCTAATGCCTTAAGTGCAAATAAACGAGAACTAGCATTCAACTGTGACTTGATAAGGAACTTCTGTTGATGTCGACATCTATTTCTCCATTTCTCTATATAGGAGTTTAAAAAAGTTACCATTGCAGAATAGAAATAATTCCCTAGTCGTTGGAATTGTTGGAAAATATACCCCTCAGTCTTGAGATTTTGTTGGCAAATAAAAACCTCACCCTTCAGACTCAGTTTTTATTTGCCAACAAAATCTCTTGACTATTGGGTCATATTCTCTAACAATTCATCCAACGCGGGTATTATTTCTTAATTAGACATGTTATAAACTTAATTAGCCGAGAGTCCAATACTCTTAATATAGTATAAGATCAATTGGTTGATCAGAACAAATAAGGCCTAAGAGTGTTCAGGTGGAAAGATTATAAATATCTCATTGTAAAAGCTCTTGTAGTAAAGCCCGCTTCATCAGGGTCCACCTAGGACACACATTGATCAATATCATGGAATTTTGTGTGATATTGTACAGTCTTAATAGTTCACAACCACTTCATTGGTTGCAAACAGTTAACATCTGAACATTGGATTTAACTGAATTGATGATGGATCTCGTTTCAATTTGACCATAACATTTTATTTGACAATTTATTATTTTTCTAAATTACACTTTTCAACCGACTCTACAAAAGATATCTAGAAAATAATGAAAAAGAGTGAGATTATATTTTAACAGGATTATATTGGTAAGAAAATTTATGGAAATTTGTTTAACTCATACATGTAAAAAAAAAAATGTGAATGTGAAAAAGATCATGTTATATATGTTGTAAATATTTTAGGAATCTCCTCTAGATAGGCAGATTTTTCATCATTCAAGGTTTATGTAAGGCAGATATTTAAGTTGAAAGGAAATATACATGGTTATATACATATAGGTATATATGGAGATTTAGTCACTTTTTATTAGCTAAATAATGAGCCCAAGGCTCAAATGAGCTTTTGTGATCAAAGTTTGTCTGTCAATGTTGTTTTCATCTTGGATGTTTACAATTTCATCTCCACCAGAACCACAGGTCCAATTTCAACCAAACTTGCTACAAAGCGTCCTTGGGTGAAGGGGATTCAAGTTGTTCAAATGAAGGGCCCATGAACATAACATCAGCCTAAGGGCCATGGCCAGTAAAAACCCTCTGGTAGTGCAGATTCAAATTTGTTCAAATCAATGCCTTGAATCATGGATAGGGTGGGGCCAGATATACATGTAAGAGATAAAAGTTTTTCATTTGAATATATGGGGGAAAAAAGATTTAAAATCTTCTTTCAGGAACAGCAAGGCCATGATCAGTTAAAATCAAAGCCCTGCAGGGTAGGGTTGGCCACATATAGGAGATATTAGAATATACAGAAAAATAATTTATAATGATTATCTTCTTTTCAAAAACAAAAGGATCATGATTAATGGTACATGTATTGATATGCAAGCATCATCAGGTAGATTTAAATTTGTTGAAATCGTGGCCGAAGGGGTAGGTTGGGGCCACAATAGGGAATCAACATTTTAAATGGATTAGGGATATATAAAGAAAATGTTTTTAAATCTTGATTTCAAGAAAAGTAGGGCAATTATTAATGATATTAGTATGCATATTCACAGATATTTCAGATTTAAGTTTGTTCAATCTATAACCCCAGGAATAGGGTGGGACAACAAAAGGGGATCAAGTTTAAAAAAGAAACAAATAAGGATTTTATTTCTTTTAATATTTTTTTTTTTTTTAAATAGCAAGGCCAAATTAAATTACGTTTACATGGAGACATTCTGTGTTGATTTTTTTTCTTTAAATAATAAATTGTGGGGTTGAATAGGGTTAAAATGGGGAGCAATTTTCACCTAGTGCATATTAATATTTTGTTCTAATGATACTGAAGCATCACCAGGATATATTAATTCAAGTAAGGTCATGTCAAAAGCTTTTGGGGCTAGGGTAGGGCCACAGTATGGAATAAGAATTTTTTATTTGAATAAAGATGGATTTTTTTAATATCATGATGAAGAACAGGAGACTCAGGTGAGCATTGTGGCAGATGAACCTCTTTTACTTAAAGTCTACAAAATGGTCAGGATCTCTGGATATGGAGCCAGCTATATATTCATAATTAACAGAATATTTTCCCAATGCAGTTTTATTTTTGTAATATTAGTTTTTTTTATTTTCAGATTGATGATGGGGGACACAGAGGAAGAAAGTCTCCTGTCCTGGAGTTCTCTGCCTGACCATATTATTGTCAAAATATTTTCTTACCTGAACCTCCATGACAAATTCCAGGCATCTTTTGTGTGTAAGTCTTGGAATGACTGCTTCCATTTCCCAGTTCTGTGGGCAGATTTTGTTTTTCTCATTCAAGATGACAGTGATAGACAGATTAGTAGACACAAGAAGTGCTTGGAAATGCATGGTAGCCATTTAAAGAATGTTTTGATGAAAATTGATCAAAGTAAACCAAAATGCAGATCTGCTGCATGTGATATTTTGAATGGCATTGCTAATCTTCCCAACAGAAAACTGTCTTCCATAAAAATTGACTTTACGGGTGAGAATCCTCTATTCTATGCTGGTGCTGAATTTGTGCAATCTTTAAAGAAATTATTTGGGTGCAATCCTGAAGATATTGAAACACCTACACAGTCATTAGTCAATGTTGATTTAAGTGGAATGCCAGTTGCTTTTAATGATGAGGTGATTAATCTTTTGTCCACCAACCATCCAAAGTTAGAGAGTCTAAACATTTTAAACAAAGTCTTAGTGTGCAAAGTGTCACCGGATTCCATACTTCAATTAGTTAGGAAATGCAGAAAGCTGAAAAAGCTGTTCTTGTTCCACTGCAGCATGTCAGACGACACTTTGGTGGCTTTGGCAGAAGACAGGAGAGCTCCACTGGAGGAACTTGGCATTTCTTGTAGAAGGGAACAGAAATATGGAGGTGACTTAACCTCAGAGGCGTGGCAACAGCTGATGACGAAGTTACCCAAACTGAAAGTAATGCTGTCTTTTGATCACACCTGTCCACTTCACCTGGTCTCTCAGATCATGAAACCAGAAATCCCAGTCCATGTTCTGAATCTGCAGACCTTTACTATGATTTACGAGGAGGTGAACCAGGCTACAACCTATTATAAGAATACATTGGAGGTGGTGGTTCTACAAACAAGGAATTCCCCAGAGCTGGGGTCAGCTCTGGTGAATCTGGCGAGGAACTGTCACAACCTTCACACACTGATTGTGTACTGTGTACTTAAAAAAGAGGTCGTAGAGGAAATTCTGGCACTGAGGCCAAAAATGAAAGAAGATGGAACTTATATCTTGAAGTGGAAGCCCCAGGCTGAGCCTTGGGTTGTTGGGTTGGAAGAGGGAGATTAAGATTATTAAAGCTTTATATATCTGTAGCTTAATCTATAGAGAGGATTTGCCTATTAGATGTTTTATATGACTGCATTTTGTAACTACTTATTAACTTAATTATTGTTGGATGTTATTTCTTCACATTTTTTAATGTAATATACATGTAGACATAAAATATCATACTTGTTTTATATCAGTTAGTCTTGTGCAATGGAGAATTTATTTACTTTTTATCTGAAACAATTATTTTTTTACATTATATTAGACAATGCTAGTTTATCAGAGCTTTCATGATTTTTTGTTGAATAATCTTTTCAGTTTTTATGTCTGTGATCAAGTGCCAAACCTCTCAAATTAGAAGATAATATTAAAAAGAAATTTGTATTCCTGGTGGTTCAGATCAATTGTCAATAGTCAGGACTGATGGGTTGTCATTTTAAATTCAAATGGATTTAAATTGCTAACATGTGGTTGTAATTTGGACTGAAGGTGTTTATTTTTTGCTTCTTCTAACAACCTTAGTTTTATAAGATTATTAGATCAATTATGGAATAAATTCATAAGCTAGAGCATTGGACTTTTTTTGTTATTTTTTTTTTTACTTTTGAGAAAATGGAAGAAGTCGTGTATTTTAAAAGAACTTCAACAATGATTATACTGTGAATAATAACAAGTAAGATATAAATGAAAAGTTCCCTGATCCTTAATGTACCTCTTGTTTGTATTTACCTCGGTTAAAACAGCATGTGTGAACCTTTTTTCAGGAGTACTGTACAACAATATATTTGAGAAGTGGTGTAAATCAGATGTGGATTTTTAAAAACTCAAAGGAGTTTCTAGAAAATCTGAAATCGCAAAATTTTACCTTATCAAAATCAATAACATCAAAACGTATGACTTTTCAACACTTTATGCAACTATTCCCCACAATAAATTGAAGTCCAGGCTTTTTGACATCTGCTTTTTCAATGAAAATGGAACTCATAGATTTATTTACGTTGTCATTGATCATTTGCAAAATTATTTTGTTAAAAATATTCTGATTGTACACACAAGTACTCTGAAGTTGATATTAAAAAGAGGCTCGACTTTCTATGCTGTTTTTAGAGATCAAGTCTTCCAACCATCTGTCGGAGTTCCCATGGTTACTAATTGCGCCCATTTATTAGCAGACATATTTTTATATTCAAATACAGTATAATTTATTCAAAACTTCTACATATGAGAAGAAGAAAACACTTGCTGTGGCCTTCAACAAGACATTTAGATATATCGACGACGTATTATCAATTATCAATAGTTACTTTCATTCATATGTCGACTCAATATATCCCAGTGGACTTGAAATAAAAGATACCGCAGAGTCTGAAACATCTGTTTAAAATTTGGATGTTTTACTAGAAAAAGACGCTAATAGTACAGTGTAACCTAACAACAAAACTTCATGATAAACGTGATGACTTCAACTTTTCTATCGTCAACTTCCCTTATTTATGTAGCAATATACCCTTATCACCTGCATATGGAGTTTATGTCTCCCAGTTGATTCGATACACAAGAATATACTCTATGTAGGAACAATTTCTAAAGTAAGGCAAGCTATTGACAAACAAGTACATGAAACAAGGATATCGACAGTCTCGTTTAAAAGCAACATTTTGCAACTTCTATGAATTCATACCAATTGTTAAGACATTATTAACGCACTGAATTGTGTATGGATTTTTCCGTTTACCCGATCATGACAAAGAGCACAAGGTGGGTGTAACCGGTCAACAGGGTTGCTTACTCTTCCATGGCACCCGATTCCACCTCTGATGCTTTTAGAGATCTGTGTTTGCTCTGCTCCCGATTTGTATTGTTTCAATGGACTTTTGAGCTTGATTTACTGTTTGTTATCTCCATATTTCATCAAGGTTAGAGATGGTCTGTGGCCTGGACACCATTTTACCAACCCACTACCCAGAGAGACCGTGATAATTGAGAAATAATTATACACATACCAGAGATAACGACACACCTTTAGGTCATTGAAAATAGCATATTTTAAGTTTGAATCTCTACTAAATAAGAGCTTGATCACTGTTCGTTATTTCCATATCTCATCCAATAATCTATATCATATGATAATCAATTTCTTTGGCTCATGACTAATGAAGACCCTGAGATCCTAAGATCTCTTGCTAGATTCCTTGATAATCTACCTTAACTGAAAAATTTAAATATATTTGGGGATGTATATACATGTAGGAATGGCAATATATCATCTCTTCTGTTCTTTGATATGCATATATGTATCTTTCCAGCTACTTGACTATATGTTATTATTATATTACAATATGTATACTCGTATACATCTCTTGTAGATGCATTTATCAATGATTATACAATTAAGCACTGCTCATTATATTTAAGATCATGTTTGTTCTATCATTTGGATCTTCCTCCTTCTTTGTTTCATGTTTGTAAATCTTTTTTGCTCCTCCGGGGGCCCAATTTGGACTAATAAATCTTATACAACTTTACAAATGTATGTTTAGCTCACCTGAAACGAAGTTCAAGTTATCTTTTCTGATTACCCATCGTCTGTGTCAATCTGTCCTTTTGGTAACTTTTCACATTTTTCACTATTTCTGTAAAACCACTGGATCAATTAGAATAAATCTTGCCTCAAAATATCCTTGAGAAAAGGGGAATCAGATTTGTTCAAATGAAGACCCACAACTTTTTTTTAAGGGAAGGTAATTTAAAAATAGTGAAAATTTAATGGGTTCATTCAAAGAACATCTTTAGAACCACTAAGTCAGAAAAAGATGGGGTCTCAATAGAGGATCAAAGTTTTAAATGGGAATACATATATAGGGAAAATACTTCAAAATCTGCTTATCAAGAACTGAAGGGCTATAATTATTCATATATTAAATTGCAAGTACAATGTATCTTCAAATTATCCAGATTCATATTTGTTCAGATCCTGGTCCGTAGGGGTAGGGTGCGGCCACAATAGAAGATCAATTTTACATCCCCATTTTTTTTTTTTTTTTTTTTTTTTTTTTTTTGTGATTCCAGTTTGGTTAAGTAATGACCTATTGGTGTTTGGGTATGCTCTCAGTATGGGGTCAAAATTTTCATAAAATAAAGAGAGAGAACTTCAATAAATCTGACAAAGACTTGGAATCATGCATTGGCCAAGTGAGTTAATGTTGTTTTTTTTTTTTTTTCAAAATGACCTTAATCTAGGGTTAAACAATGGAGAGCGGGTATAACTGACATTCCTATCAGTAGCTTTAGTTTCGTATGGAGCACTCGTATAGTTTCAGGAAATATATCAACAAATAGACATGGTGTTCTGAAAGTAGGGTATTAATAAGTTTTTTTCCCGAATGTTAGCCTCGAACCCTTGCTTAAAGACATGAGTTTTACAATTTTGTTAGGGCAAGGTTCAATGCAATAACCGAACACCATATGAGCTAACCAATAAAACTGGAAATGCACCCCTCTCCTAATGGTATTAAATGTAAAGATTAGAGCCTGTTCAATGAAAGTAGAACTTATTACTCTTTTAAATAAGGGTTGAAATAACTGTTCAAAAAATAAATGAAATCCATTTCCAACAAATAAACTTTACACAGTCATATGTGTAGATGAAAGTCAAACATCCTTATCTCGAACTCAATGGGACCGAGATCGAAAAAAAAACTTAGAGATATCCGAGGATTCGGGATATTGAGGGTAAAATACTTTAAGAATAAGTAGTTGGGACTTCCAAATCACTTCGACATATCCATGATATTCGAGATATCAGTGTTCGAGATACCGAAGTTCAACTGTATTATTTACACCAGCAAAACTTTGTTATTGCTTTAAGCATTACCATATTTGTCACCCAAACTGTCCCCAATGCTGCAATACTTTGTCAAAAACCATTTTGATTCTAAACACAAGTATTTATCATTAAGTCATATGCTGACTGACGTTTTCATACTAGTTGTTAAGCCATTATTTACATATTGAATTGTCGACGGATTTTTTCGTTATTTCCCGATCATGACAAGGAGCACACGGCGGGTGTGACCGGTCGGCAGGGGATGCTCACTCCTTCATGGCACCTGATCCCGCTTCTGATGTTTCAGGAGGTCCGTGTTTGCTCTGCTCCCGATTTGTATTGTTTTAATGGATTTTGAGCTTGATAACTGTTCGTTATCTCCATATTTCATTTTAAAGATGCTGGATTTTCTCATTGACAATATCTAAAATGTACATAGTCTTTCGAGACTAGGTTTTCCAACAATTTGTTGTAATTCACAAGGGTAGTAATTACCTCCCCCCCCCCCCTTATTAGCAGACCTTATGAAGCAGAATTTGTTCAAAAACTTCTACATAAAAAGAAGAAGTCTCTCGCTGTTGTCTTTAATTCGACATTTAGATATATATCGATGAGTTTTATCAATAACCCAAAAAATATATGTATACATTGAATCGCTATATCCGATTAAAATCAAAATAAAAGACACCACAGAGTCTAAAACAACTGCTTCATATCTGGATATTTCACTAGAGAAAGATCAACAAATAAACTTCATGATAAATGTCACGAGTTCAACTTTTCTACCTATCAACTTCCCATATTTATGTAACAATATACCATTATCACCTGCACATGGGGTTTATGTTGATTCGATACGGAAGTGCATGATCTTCGTATTAATAATTTCTAAAACGAGGCAAACTACTGACAAACAAGTTTATAATGCAAGGATATGTGTTTGAAGTCAATATTTCGCAAATTCTATGGTCTGTACAATTTAATGACCTGTTTGCAAATACAATCTATCGTTAGGTCGAATATTGACTGACGACTTTCATAAAAATTGTAGGTCATTATTTTCATTCTGAACTAGTTACGGATTTCTCTGTTTACCTGATTACGACAAAGAGCACACACGGCGGCGACAGGAGATGCTAACTCATCCATGGCATCTAATATTACCTCTGATATTTTTAGATGCCCAGGTTTGCACTGCTTATTTCAATAAATTTTTTAGCATGAGTACTGTTCGTTATATTCATATTTTATTGGAGTTGAAAGTAGAGTAAGCAACTATTATTCAAAAATTTTGTTTTTCAATCTCAAATATTTATTGTATCACAAATGCACATTTTATAGTTTCTCATTGTTAAGTTTAGAATAAATTCGGTTAAAAA